ATAGCTTTAGTCCAGAAGAAAGTTAATATTTCTCATTAAAAATTAATCAATGACTGCCAAGTGTGGTAGCACACACCTGTAATCCCAGCCACTCGGGAGACTGCGCTGGGAGGATCACTTGAGCCCAGGACTTCAAGGCTAGCTTAGGCAGCGTAGCAAGATTCTGTCATCGTCGTCGTTGTCGTCATCATCATCATCATCATCATCAAGGATGACTTCTACAATCATGTTGTAGTAACTGCTATGAGACTTGCCCTCCCACCAAAAACAACTGGAAAGATGAACAAGATAGATGAAATAACTATTTGTAGATACTGCATATACTGACCCCAGGGAGAAAAGAAACAAAGCTGTATGCCCCAAGTAAGCCCAGCTTCTTGCATAAAGGGAATTTACCACATCACAGGGCAAGAGGGGAAGCTAAGCAGAGGAGGGCAGCTTTTCTGAGTTTAGGAGATAGATCAGAATTCAGGGAAACTGCAATACCTCGTCTTTGCAAAGTACTGTAAAGCAGGAAGGAAGAAAACGAGTTGCAGAAATAGGCAAAATGTTCCACTTGAGTCTGTCACTGAATGCTAACATGCATGTTACTAGGGTAAAACCATACCTATGGTTTTACCAGGCAAAGTACAACCAGAGAGCTCCACACTGAACTACCCCCAGAGATAACAAAGAAGGAGAGAGATCAAGTTTTGACTAGCCAGAGTTGAGAGGCATCTTTGAATCAGCAAGGATTTCAGTAGGTCCCAGAAGGATCCTGCCCCAGCAGTAGGATTGAACTTGCATTATGACCAAGGGGACTCTAGGCCCACTCTAACAAAGTTTAAGAACAGCCTTGAAAAGATCAAGCTGATCTACAGTTGCTGACCTAAGAAAATAAAGATCAAGAGGCTTTGAAGGAAGAAATAAAAACCGTAGGCAGTAAATATGATATTTATAATATCCGGCATACAACAAAAAATGATCAGACATAGAAGAAGCTGGAAAGTGTGACCTATAACAGGAAGAAAAAATTTTAAATAGAAACATAACCAAAAATGACAGAGAATTAACATCAAAGGAATTAAGTATTATAAACTATTAAAAGATTTACATGAAACCATAGACATATCAGGAGAATAAAAAAAGGTATTTAAACAACAAAAAAATGAGAGAAATACATGGAACATACATAGATTAAAAAATATGATATCTGAGAGTAAATAAAATTTATTGGTTGGGCTTAACAGAAGGCTAGATATTGCAGAAGATAAAATCAGCAAATCCAAAAGGTTGAACAACAGAAAAGATCAAAAGTCAAAATTCAAGTTACAGAAGGAAAAAAAACTGAAAAAGAGGAGCAAGCAAGCTTCTGTGGTGTGTGGGGATACTGAGGCGCCTACCATGTGTGGCTCATGTCTCAGGGAGAGCAGAAATAAAGATGTGAAAAATAAAGGCTGAAAATTTTTGAAAATGGATGAAAGCCATGAATATCCAGATACAAGAATCCCAACAAACTCTGAAGCAAGACAAATCAAAACACATCATACCCAAATTCCTGAAAGCCAATATTAAAATTATATATCTTTAAAATATCCAGAGAAAAGGTACACAGGATGAAGATGGGACAGGGTAGAAAAGACTGCAGAACTTTCCAGAACTGTGGAAATTATAAGATAAACAGTGACAACTTTGAAAAGTGGGGACAGAAGAGAAAAACTGTCAAACATGAAGACAAAACAAAGACAGTTTTCAAACAAAAAAACCTGACATGACCCTTCTCTGTGAGACAGGTTGAAAGGCATGCTCCATGCTGGAGGACGGTGGCAGCAAAAGGAAACTCGATCAACACGCAGGGAGAGGAGCCCAGGGGCTGGTGAATGTATGGGCAAATGGAAAGGACTGCTCATTTCTTAGTATCTTTAAAACCTACTTGACTACTTTAAACAAAAAGCAATAATGCATTGTGTAGTTTATAATAGAAAGAAACATGTGTGACACAAACACAAAGGATGGGAAGGGGTGGACGTCCACTATGCACAACTCACGAACTGTAGGCAATGGTATAATGTCACTTGGAGAAAGACGGTGATGAGTTAAAAAAAATACCAACTGGAGACATAACAACGACTACAAAATAGAACTAATGTGCATAGCTAATAAGCCAGTGACGGCATTAAATAGAAATATATGCCAATACTCAAAAATGAAAAAAGGAACAAAGAAATTAGATAATTAGAAAATCAACAGCAAGATGACTGACTTAAGCTCAGCCATATTAAATATTAAGATAAATGTACACTTTAAAAATGCAGCAATTGTCAGAAGAAATAAAAAAGTGATACTTACATATATTATGTTAACAAGAAACATACTTTATTTTTTTTATTTTTTTATTTTTTTTCAGACAGAGTCTCACTTTGTTGCCCAGGCTACAGTGAGTACCATGGCATCAGCCTAGCTCATAGCAACCTCAAACTCCTAGGCTCAAACAATCCTCCTGCCTCAGCCTCCCCGAGTAGCTGGGACTACAGGCATGCGCCACCATGCCCAGCTAATTTTTTTTCTATATATATATTAGTTGGCCAATTAATTTCTTTCTATTTATGATAGAGACGGGGTCTCGCTCTCGCTTAGGCTGGTTTCGAACTCCTGACTTTGAGCTATCCACCCGCCTCGGCCTCCCAGAGTGCCAGGATTACAGTTGTGAGCCACCGCGCCTGGCCAAGAAACATACTTTAAATTCAAAAAAAGATACATAAAACATAAAATGATGGAAAAACATATACCATGTAAACACCTATCAGAAAAAGCTGGAGATATTATAGTAGTAAAGTAGATGTCAAAGTAAAGACCACCACCAGAAATAATAAAAAGGGTTAATTAAACAAAATATAATAATTTTGAATGTGTATGCACCCAGTAACAGTGCTTTCAACACACATAAGGCAAAAAATAACAGCACCAAAGGGTCAAACCAAAGAGTATAAGATCTTAAATTCATCTGACTCATATGCCAATCCGCTTTGACTGAGAAATCCTGATCCTGAATAGTAGCCTAGGCAATTTTCAAAAAGAACATCTGACCTGGGGACTGATGGAGACTATGTGATAAACAGAGATAACATAGAGAAAGAAAAATATTTCTATATATCTAAAAAGGAGAAAATTAAAAATAGGATACAGCTTGCATATATCTGGTGTTATCAATTTGAAAAATACTACACACACACAAGCACAGGTGTAACTTTTAATTGGCAAGGAGAGGGGCACACCACCAAATAAAAGATATAAATTTCTAATAAGCATGGAGGAATTTCAATATCCTATTAATAATCTAAGAATTACAAATTAAAACAATGAACTGTCCCCATTTTCTCTACCAAACTAAGATTTTTTTTTCAATACTTATTTTAAATATTTTTAAAAATAATATCTAGTAACGACACATTGCAAATTACAAAATGTTTTTGTACATCTCTTCCTGCGATAATTTGGAAATACCAGAAGCCTAAAATTGTGATAACCTTCCACCAAACAATTCTTCTTCTAAGAATTTATCTGAAACATAAAGACTTGCTGTTTAGATGTCTTCTCTTAATGCTTATGTACTTCTACAAAGTGGAGTAGGAGCTGCTCACTTGTCCCGCACCCCGTGAAGAAGGCGGCAGAGGCTGGTTGAGTAGCTAAGTCTTATTCGCCAGCTCAGGCATTAGAAAACTATGTTCTGTGATCCAAATCTAGCCTAGACTAATTCTGTGTGGCCCTCAAGGTAAAAATGTATTTTTCATATTCAAAGAGTTGCCAAAAAAAAAAAAAAGAGAGAGAGAGAGAGAGAAGGAGCAAGAACACAGAAGACAATGGCTATCTGGCGGACAGTGTGTGGCCCACAGTATCTCCTGATGGTGAGCAAACGGACAAAGAAGGAATAACAAACTCTCACTAGTGTCCAGATGGTTTGAGGAAAGATATAAGAACATATAAAATAATGAATTTCAACCTAGGGACCACTTAAATATAGGCAACACTAAAATACCTCAACAATCAAAATATTTGTGAGTCTTACATGTCAAACACATTTAGTTTCCAAAAAGTCCAGTACACACAAGAATGAGTAGGCCCTTGCCATTCGTGGTCCTTAACTGCAAACAGTATGCTATGTGAGCAGCTATTCCTAACTCAACCAAACTAAGGAATGTATACCCAATTTTCCTTCCCTTAACAAACAATTGCTTGAGTCAAAGGTCACTCAGGGACAAACTCAATATTTCCTTACTCAGCATTGAGGATCAGCAAATCATATAAGAAAAAGCTTCTCACATTCAGATCAATACTACACACAAACTGACATAAAATAAACACCAGTGGCCACAACTGAGGTTTTGTTTTTTCACAAAAACAGATGTGTACCAGCATTTTAGGTTAGGAGACTCTCAACATTTGTGAAAGATCTGTTTGGGATATCATAGAAAACACAGAAATCTATAAATACTGTTCTCTCCACTTCACCCATTATGTATTCTCCAGGTACAAAGAAAAACTCAGCAAAGGTGAAACAAGAATTCTGAAAACATCTCTCTCCTTCTTCCCCTAGTTTAAGACACAGAGTAACACTTCACTCCCTCCTAATCAAGGAGGGTTCTCTACCTTTCAAAAGTTGAAATCAACAGGCTGGTCTCAAAGACTAGGCTAAACCATGTCTGACTTCTAGTTTCCCAAACAATATCTTAACTAGCCTATTGGGGAGTAAATCAGTTAGCAAGAATGGACTCATCTATTCCCTGCTGAAAGTTCTGTGTCAAGCCAATAGGAACATTAAAAACTACCTAAAACCAATTATGTGCTAAAACACCACGGAAATTATTCTGGCATAATTTTCAATGACCTCTCCTGAGAAATAAAAAAGTTATAAAACAAATTCCCCATGCATAAATAAATTAGCTGGTATAAACAGAAATGCATGTACTATCCACAAGTTACCACTAAGAATAAAACAGTGATATAGGCCAGACGCTGCTCACCCCCAGAGCTGGCAGACGTTGTGTGCAGCTCACAGCCACCTTCAGCTTCCAGTCGGTTTCCCCATCTAGTTGATCCGTTCGAATAAAACATGAACCTTAAAAGAAGAGAAGAAAAATTCACCACTCCTGAATTTGTTATCCCTGACCTGCAGTATCACCGAAGCACAGTATCTCGATGTATGGTTTGTGTCCCACTCACAAATTGATGTATCTAGATATTCCCAGGAACAAAACTCCTTAAAAGCCTTTATTTGAGATGATATTACTTGATTCACAATTCAGAACAATTGTGCTGAAAAGATAATGGTCAAATTTTTTTAATTAATCACTTATTTCCTAGTTGGTGTTCTTGCCTATTCAGGGCTAACAGTGATTCATCTTTTACTTTAGAAAGACCGCATTGATCATTTCTACCTTTAATCCATGTTCTAATAATGAGAAAATAATAAGTAGATACACAAAAATATTAAGAGTATGTGATATTATCCTGCTAATAAAATATCAGATTTACCACCATAAAACATGTTCAATAATACAAGCAAAGCTAAAATGCTAAAATCCAGGTAAATGCTGTTACATACTCACAAGCTTATCAAATTTTAAACATGGAAAAATATACAAAAATCCATTTACCCTTTGACCATGCTATCATCTCACTTCTCAGAAACTATTCTAAAGATAGAAAGCAAATGCACAAAATGATATATACACAAGACTATTCATTACATTATTTATAACAAAAGGTTATTATAAAACAAAAGTGAACAAATGATTAGAGAACTAGTTGAAAAAAACAGCACATGCAACAGTAAGAAAAAAATAAAGAAAAATAAGATAACTTCAATACACTACTATGGGACGAGTTCTAGGATATATATTGCTAAATGAAGAAAGCCAGGTGTAGAACATTACATATATAAAACAATTCATTATAGTTAAGAACAAAGGAGAGGGGAGAGAGAGAATTCATGTGTGTATGTGCAGGCATCTCTCTCTGCATGTGTAACTGTGTGTGGGTGTGCATCTATGTATCTGTATTTGTGTGCATGTGGTGCATGTGTATTTGTGTGCATGTATATCTGTTCTGTGTGCATGGGTGTGTATCTCTGTGTGCTGTTGTGTGTTCACATGCATATCTGTGAATGCATATTTGTGTATTTATCTGTGTACGTATGTTTATATACATTTGTATCTGTGTGCAAGTGCATGTATCTGTGTGTTTCTATGCATGCCTGTTTTTGTGTATGTATCTGTGTGTACACACATCTTTATGTGTCTATGAGCATATCTATGTATCCGTGTGTATATCTGTGTGCATACACGTGTATCTGTGCATGCAAGTGTACCTGTGTGTGCATATCTGTGGGTATGCACACATATCTTTGTGTGTCTGCAAATGTATCTGTGTGTGTGTGCATGTGTACCTGTGCTTGTGTGTATGTATTTCCCTGTATGTACATCTCTGTGTGCGCCTGTGTCTGTGATTCCCTATGTGTACATCTCTGTGTATGCCTGTGTGTGCATAATACCTACAGAGGGAGGGACGGAGCAGGGGGGACAGGAATGGGGCATGACAGAGGTAAATTTCCTCAGTTTTCATCTTGCTTCTTATACCTCAGACTAGTTACTGAAGAACCTGGCCACCCATAAACACCAACAAGCACAGATAAAACAGTCCCAAGAAACGTCTACGTTCTCTAGCCAAAGGGAAAACCTAGTAAGAAAGAAAACTTCTAGATGATTACCACCCTGTTCCAGCAAAACCCACAGAAAAGGCTGTGACCCCCAGCACCTCCAACAGTGGCACAGTGAGGAGCAACATTTGCACCTTCCACAGTGAGAGAGGTCCCTGCCCCTCTGGGTGGAGAGACAAAGGTCAATGGAGAACCCGAATTTCCAACCCCATTTGGCAAAACAGAGGCGGTGCTCCTTCCCACTACCCCAGTGGTGCAGTATCCATAGAGGCCTGCTAAAATACAAGATTTTTAAAAGATACAGATTCTCATAATACTGAAGATGTCCAAATTAATAAAAAAGAAAACACTCACATCATAAAAAAACAGAAAATATCTTAAATTGAATAGAAAAGACAATCACAGACCCCAACATCAAAAAACTCAGATGTAAGAATTATCTGACAATGTTTTTAAAGTGACCATAATAACATTTCAATAATAAAATATAAATAACACTTGAAGGAAATGTAAAAAAAAAATCTCAGCAGGAAAATGTAACATATAAAGAAAAATCAAATAGAATTTCCTTACTGAAAAAATAAAATAACCAGGAAAAATACTCAATGGATGGGATCAACATCAGAATGAAAAGGGCAGAAGACACATTCAGTGAACTTGAAACAGAACAAAAGAAATTAGTCAATATAAACAATGGAGAGAAAATCAAACAAAATTAACAGAGCCTCATGAACCTGTGTGACAGTAAAAAAAAAAAAGAACTAGCATTTATCTTATTAGAAATCAGAAAGAAAAGAGAAAGAGGGTAGGGCTGAAAAAATACTTGTCCATATAATGGCAGAACATTTCCCAAATGTGGCAAAAGATATAAATCCACAAATTCAAGAAGCTGAGCAAACTCCAAACTGGATAAGCAAAAAAAAAAAAAATCCATGCAAAGAGATCAAAGTCAAACTTCTAAAAACTAAAGACAAAAACAAAAAAAAAACACAATCTTGAAAGTGGAATGAAAGAAATGACACTTTACCCACAAAAGAAAAACAATAGAGTGGTGGTAGAAAATACGAAGGCCAAGAAAATGGCACAGCACTCTTCAAGTTCTGAAAGAAAAGAACTGTCAGCTGAGATTCTATACCCAGTGAAAATATCCTTTAGGAAGGAAAAGAACACAAAGACATCCTCAAATGTGGGAAAACTAACAGAATTTGTCTCTGGCAGACCTACCCTAAAAGAATGGCTAAAGAAACTTCTCTACATAGTAAGAAAATGGGAAAAGAAGTGATCTTGAAACATCAGGAAGAACAAATAGACAACAAAAAGAGAAAAATACAGATAAACATAATTGATTTTTCTTCTTGAGTTTTCTAAATTGTGTTTGACAGATGACGGAGAAATTATAGCACTGATGTGGTTATTAATATGTGTAGAGAAAATATTTAAGACAACTACATTATAAATGGGGAGGAAAAGGCACATAAACAGATGAATGGTAAAATTTCCACATCAATATACTGTGGTGATATATATATACACACACATATATAGATATACATATGTATGTATATACATATCTAGAGTAAAAACAATATAGATAAATCAAAATGTAATTCTAACAAATGTTCTAGAACCCACAAGAAGTCAGGAATAACAAAACTGAGATATGGAAATGGAGAGAACAAAGAAAAAACAAAAAAAATGGCAGACTTGAGCCATAATATGTCAAAAATTACATAAAGATAAAATGGTCTGAGTACATAAATTAAAATCAGACGTTGGCAAGACTGTTTAAAAAAACAACAAAAAGAACACAACTATATGCAAGAAACTCTAAAACAAGATAAGAATGTTGAATACACATGTGTTGAAGTAAAAATGGAAAATATACACTGTCTGGACACTAATCCAACAAAGTAGGAATGGCTATATTAATCAGATCAAGCATACTTCAGAACAAAGAAAATTAGCAAGGACAAAGAAGAAAATTACAAGATGATAAAGTGGTCAATCGCCAAGAAAATATGGCAATCCAAAATGTACACCAAACAGCTGACCTGCAGAACAAGTGATCCAATACCTGACTGACTGAAAGGAGAAACGGGGGCTTGAACATCCTTCTCTCAGCAATTGATAGAATGAGACAGAAAGTCAGCATGCATATAAAAGCCCACAACACTACCCACCGATAGGATCATTTTTAGAATTTTCCACTCAACAACAACAAGAAACACATTCTTACAAGAGCCAGAATACTCTCGAAAAAGTCCAGGCAGAAATGTTAACATCAAGTCCACACAATCTCTCTCAGGAAATAAAAAAGCAAATATTTCCCAATTCATTTTATGTAGTGCCTATTATCCTGATACCACAAGAGAAAAGCAGCACCAGAAAACTACAAAAAAATATCTAATAGGCCGGGCGCAGTGGTTCACGCCTGTAATCCTAGCACTCTGGGAGGCCGAGGCGGGCGGATTGCTCGAGGTCAGGAGTTTGAAACCAGCCTGATCAAGAGCAAGACCCCATCTCTACTATAAATAGAAAGAAATTAATTGAACAACTAATATATATAGAAAAAATTAGCCAGGCATGGTGGCGCATGCCTGTAGTCCCAGCTACTCGGGAGGCTGAGGTAGTAGGATCGCTTGAGCCCAGGAGTTTGAGGTTGCTGTGAGCTAGGCTGACGCCACGGCACTCACTCTAGCCTGGGCAACAAAGTGAGACTCTGTCTCCAAAAAAAAAAAAAAATCTATAATAAATACAGACACAGAAACCAAACAAAATATTAGCATAAATAATACAACAATATGTAAAAAGAACTACAATAAGAAAAGTAACTTAAAACAAACTAAATTCTAGACTCCACACGACACACTGAGATGTCAATGCCATTCGTTTTGCTCTAAGTTTCCTTTCTGTTATATAGAGTAACAACAGGTGAGACATCTTAGGAGTCTCGTACATTTCTAAGATTCTGTGTTAACAAAAGTGAAACCCTGCTCTTCAAGTGGCACAGGGTTTCTACAAATTTATAGAACACTGTAAAGAATATAAATGCCCTTTAAAGAAAAAAGATATGCTTCGTGTTAAATAATTATATGCCATTTTTAAAACTTAGGGAAAACAATGACATTTTATTTTTCTCAAGTACAGTTAAAATTAATAACTCTCAGTAACTGATGTGGTTTAAAGAGAGAAAGAATTAACTATAGCAAAATCAGAAGTATGTACAACTTGACTTGTCTTATAAGAACTATATCTAATAATTTTTAAGAAAAAGTACTAGCTACAACTGACACCAGTTAAGGCTCAGCAAAAATGAATTATTAAATTGATCTGCTCATATCCTATTACAGACTGCTTATGAATACTTGATTTTATTTTGTATAGTTGACAAGAGTTGACAG